AAGTCATAAGACAAAAGTGGCGTGGAGCTTTTAACAGCAAGCAACTTTTGGATTTGGAGAAGTATCGTCCTAAGATGCGGCTGCGCTTCAAAGACTCCAATGGTCATAGAAACAACTGTTGCATTCAATAAAACTGAGGTGCCCGATATTATTGCCTTAGAAGTAAAATTTGACACAGGACCTAATATGTCATATGTATTAGCCAACATGTTGGCTTGGTGAATAAGTCTAATGAAGCTTCCATAAGAGTATTGTAAAGCAGTTTTCCCAGGCCGCAAGTTTAACAGAATTGCAACCTATGTGTCTGGGTTACAGTTAGCCTTTTTGGACACTTAGCAAAAGATTCTTGTTTCAGCATTTAAAATGTGCTTATCATTTGTACCAATTGATCTTTCCTGAAATCATGCGGTATTGAGTTATGTCTTATTTAAATCTATTCCCATGCCAGAATCTTATCAATATATAAGAAATTTAGAAAGATTAGGTGCCAAAATACTCAGCACAATACTTGTATATTTTTAGTATCGTACAGAACTAAAATCCCAGGAACTATGAACACTCTAGACCTTATATGGTTTATTCATTTCAGACATTGAAAGTAGGGTCTACATGGTTATTTGCCTGCTCACTTTATGTTTACATCTACCACATTTATACCAGTATACATCAGCTTTGCTTAACGATTGATTTTTTTTATTATTATTTTTACCAAGTCTTACAGTGATTATTTAATGTCTTTCTGTAAATCTCATTTTGTGCTATTACGAACAACCTCCATTTTGAAAATCTACATTGTACAGAAGCACATGTCTTTAATGTCTTCAGACAAAAAAGCCTTACAGTTAATTTAATGTTTGCACTCTGAGGTGCAACTTAACAGGGAGGGCCTGAAAAAAGAATGGGAGGGGGCTATTAAATATTTTTAGCAAAATGTTGCCTTTGTCTTGTGCAGAACATGTAGAAATATGCTCTTTAATTTAGTAAATATTTTTTAAAAGGTAGAGATGCTTTGTTAATTGTAGCTAAAACAATTCTTAATCATAAAATTTCTGAAATTCTTGTAATTTTTTTTCCATACTTATCAGAAGTTGTTTACCAACTTATTTTTGTTTGAAGTGTGATTTTTTTTTTCTTCCCAACCTCTCTTGCAAAAAAAAGAAGTGGGTTTCTGCTAATGAATTGAGCAGACATCTAATATTTTATATGCCTTTTGAGCTGTGTAACTTAATATTTGGATACTTGATAATTTGTTTTATTATGTAATTGATAAAATGGTGATGTGTATTAATGTTAGTTCAACCATATATTTATACTGTCTGGGAATGTGTGGTTATAGTTCTGTGGGAGAAATAATTTGTCAGTGTTCACCAGCTTGTAAAAACTTAGTGCGAGAGCTTAAACATCTAAATAAATAATGAAATGCATTTATCATCATTGAGATTGTTTTGCTTAAAGTTAAGTTATTTCGTAGCAAACAAAATGAATTGCACTTCACTTAATGCCATTTCATGTATAGTGTGCCCTCATCTTTTTACAAATGAAGGATTAAAAGAAGTCAGCATTTGAGTAAGCTCATAGACAAAATTTGTTAGGGTCATGAGAACTACTTAATGCTAAAAGTGCTCTCCATTATAAACTTCCTTACTTTAAAGGTCTAGGTAATTTAGAACTAATTTGTTGTATACTGAGGAGTAACAGTATACAGTAGAGAAAGGCCTTGATTTTTTTTAAAGCTCTATTCTACTAGTTCTTTTTTTCTTCTAAGAGACAAAATCTTGCTCTTTCACCCAGTCTGGAGTGCAGTGGTGCGATCATAGTTCACTGGCCTCCAACTCTTGGGCCCACGTGATCTTTCTGCTTCAGCCTCCTGGATAGCCAGGACTACAGCTGCAAGCCACCATGCCTGGCTTCTAGTTAATAATGGTTCTGTGCAACCTCTGAACTTCAGTTTTCTCATTTGCAAATTAATAATTACATACCTTTATGAATTTTGAAATTAATTTGAACACTACTTGGCACATGAAGACTTAATAAATGTTAGATTTCTTTCAGTAATCTGAAATAGTAACTTTGTGTAGCACATGTTATTCTAAAAGGGACAGATATCCTTGTCTAATTTTTTTAATAGTAGTTATAAATGTAAAACAATTAAAATGTGAGTAAAAAGTGATACTCCACCTGGTGTTTAAAAGAACTTGCTTTCATCTCTTAATGCTAATTTAGCACTTAATATATTCCATTCTTGAAATTTAACTAGGACAAAAGGAAGAACAGGCCTCTGGAGGCCCCTAATTCTTTAAATTTCAAGATTATTGCTTGGGGTTAGTTATTTAACTGGAGCTGTTTTTGTTTTTTAAAAATCAGCCTACTTACTCAACGAGACAATTTTGTGTAATTGATTACTAAATAATAAACTATTTCCACCAGACCATAAAACATTTATTGAGAGAGGAGATGCTATCATGATTAATGAAAAGTATCTTGAGTTTGAAAAGTTAAATTACTTTGCAGTGTTGGATTGTATATATGGTGCTAAAAATCAATTTACTTTATAAACCTTACCTGTACAGTATACAACATGATGAAATTTGCTTTTCATCCAAATGTTTTGTATCTTGTAAATATAGCTTATCATGGGAATGCCTGTAATACATCCTAAAAGATTCTTTATATCAAAAGGACAATTTAAAGAATTATGAGTTGAGGTCTTGAATGCAAGAAGTTATCAGATGGTATTCTAAAATTTGGTACCTCGGTTTGCATACCCTCAATGGGATGATGTAAATAGTTACTAGTTAGTTGCCTAGGCTTGTCTATAGGAATCATAATGTTGCTGACGTTAAGTAATGCAATTAGTGAATCATAACAAAATGCAATCTTTTAGTTGAAGGAAAACCATAGAAATAGGTACCATTGGTCATTTCACAGTGCACTGCAGCCTTCATTTATTGTTTTTGCTAGGGCGGTTCTCTTCTATTCCCACACCTTAACACAACTCCATACCCAGAAGTAGCCAGCCCAGGCTTGTGATCAAAACTGGTCACATCCCCCTTCTAGAACACTTCAAAATGCTATTATAGTTCTCCAACTTGGCTGCAGAATCTCAATCTCTGGGATCTATTTTTTGAATGTCATTGTATTCAGCTAACAAATATCTACTATTTGCTAGGCATTTAAGAGTACGGCGGAGAACATAAAAATGTCACTAGATTTTGGTCACCAATGAGTACCCCACTCCTTGCCATAACTAAGAGAATTGTTTTATGCTTTCTATTAGAGTTTCGGAAAATGCAATTTGATGAAAATACTTCAAAGGGAAGTAGAAGTGACAATGATTTTTTTCTTTTACATGTAAATTATGAAATTCTTTTAGAGTAAGTTTTTAAAAAATACATGAAGTAGTGTCTGCTGTACATGTTTATACTCTACATTCTTGATTCCTTGAATTAATATGTTTGTGTGTGTGTGTATATATATGTCTTCTTACACCTGAATTGAAAAATTAAAGACTGGTTTAAAAGTGTCTGACATTTAATGTTTCTCCATTACATTTGGGGTAACCAACCTAAGCAGAATCTTGGAAGGAAAGTAATGGAAAATTTATTATTTGCCTTCAATGAATTAAACCAATTATGTTCATTAAGGTATGAATGGAAAGATTGACAGTAATTTAATATGTATTGCCAGACTAACCAGTTGATTAATACAGCTATTATGATGGCTACCATTTATTAATGATTTTATTAGGTAATTTTAAGAATTTGATTCCCTTCCAGTAATCCTGTATTAGTTGTCCCGATTTTATTCATAATATATTTGAGCCTCCAGTTAAGTGACTACCTGATAAATGGTAGAACTCAGGGATTCAAACCTGTGTTTGAGCCTGTCCACTATACCACACAGCTTTTGAATATATATGTCTATTTTTATGTAACCAATTATTAAAGTTTTTATGAGTTCTTGAACTCCTTCCTATTGACATATTCTCATATTCCTTAAAGTTAAATTGTTCTTCATAAAAACTGTGTATAAAGCCTTAACTGCAATTTTCTTCATTTAAATTGAACCCTTTTCTATTTTTGCAGAAAAATCTTTTTTCGAAATAAGCCAAAAAAATAAGCTAATTTATACTGCAAGAACAAAAAGCCCCGAAATCTCAGAAACTGTTTTAAGACTTAAGTTTAACTTAAGATTTTTAAGATTTGTTTCTCGCTTAAACTTTATATCCATCATAGGGACCCAGGCTGATGTAGCATCTACCCTCTGGAACAGTACTAGTTGTAACAAGGCAAAAAGGAATTTGGATTGTCTCACATGATGAGTAAATGCTTGACTAAGAAATCATATGTGTCACTTGTACTCAAGGGACAGAACTGGTTACATAGCCATGCAATAAAGGAAATGCAATTCTATTGTGTGCTAAAAAGCCAGAAATGTATAGCATTAATCACTACCACATCAGTGTTTAAATGAGTACTTCAAGAGCAACACTCCAAATAACTGAAATATCAAGTATAAGGGGACAAAGTTTCCAAGCAGCCAAAATAGATGGCATGAAGTTCAGGCACTAAAGTTTGTGCTTACTAGAGAATCGTAAACACTTATTTAAACTTATTTAATCTTTTTTTTTTTGGATATAATTTTAGCTAGCTTTGGTAATTTGGTTTCCTGCCAGACTACAGGTGGTAAATAAGATGATGAACTTGGGGAAAAGCACGTGGGTAGCAGTAAGATATCAGCTGGATGTTGAGATAAATTATAAAAACTACACAGAATACAAAAAGTACAGTCATTTGGAACAAGTCAATGCTATGACTAACAGCCTTAGGTTCATATACCTGAATAGACCTTAAGGACATCAGTGTTTCCACACAGCACAGAACAATTAAATACTTAAAATGATTGCCCATCAAGAATATAAACTATTAAGTTTGG